CTTAGGGTATGCTTATGTGATTACGTGACTATATGCGACGTGTTAGGATAGCTTTCTTTTTCTTTAGTTTTGGTTTATGTTCCCAATTACGAAGTTGTCTCTTCGTAATTTTGAGTCATATTCAAAGGGTAACATAAAAAAAATCGAAAAAAATGATGGAAAATAAAAAAAATGCTCGAATTAAAAAAAAATATTACGAGCAGGTGGCGCGCTCAACTCAATGAGTTGCGCGACCCCAGCTAGCGTAAGTGATTCGGATGCGCGCGCAGCCTAGTCACTTATGCGCGCCTACTGTTACGAGCCATTTTGATTTTTGCGAAAACAAATTGGCTCATTCAAACAATATCTTCATTGAACAATTGTTTAAAGGTGATGTTATCCGTTCGAATATATCTTGTGTCCTTTCCCCTTATTTTTTCCTAAAACAAGCGTATCAATTTACTTATCCTTTCGTACTTCTTTTAAGGCTGATTTTCAAGCTTGGGAACAAAGACTCCCGAGCGCTCATATTCTACGTTTACCATCAAACAATCCACCCGTTTCAAACCATCTTCCCACGACAACTAGTTCTAGTCCAACAACAATGTCGACCATTGAGCAACTTCAAGAAGAGATTGCTCTCTTAAGAGAAGAAACGGCTCAAGAGGCCGAGGAAAGAAGAATTAAGAAACTTGAAAAGGCTGAAATGAAAAATGTCGAGACTCTAGCCTTACAACAAAAGATGGAACAATTATCCGGCAAAGAAAAGTCGTTGGAGAATCTTGTTCTTCGTTCTATAATGGGGAACAAGTACTTCGACGCAGAAAAGTTTGCTCCTCCCACAGGACTTGCTTTACCGAAAAAGTTCGTAGCTACGGACTTGCCAGTATTTAAGGTGACCAATAATCCACAAAACCACTTAATGTGTTTTACTAGCACCATGGCATTAAAGGGAGTTGATCCTAAGCTTTATGCTTTGACTTTCCCTTTATCTCTAGACCCAACCGTGAGAGAGTGGTACTATGGGCTAGGTCCAAAATTCAAAACAACATGGGAAGATGTAGTTTTGGCTTTCATTACCCAATATGAGAGTAACATAGAGTTCAAATCAACTCTTCGTGAACTCAAAATGCTTAAGCAAGGCGACAATGAAGGTTTCCTTGCTTTCTATGGTTGATGGCGAGAAAAGGCGGCTCACCTTGCCCAAAAGACCACCTAAACTCGAGTTAGTACAAAAATTCATTGACAATTGTCACGAAAAGTACAAAAAGCATCTACGTTACCTTGGTTTAGACACTTTTCAAAAGGTCTATTATGTGGCTACTAGGATTGAAGATGATCTTGATAAAGAAAAAGCAAACAAACCTTATCATCATCAACCTAGGAATAATTACAAAAAGGGGAATGATAATACTTCATCCTCTATTGATGTATTTGCGACTTCCACGCAATATAATAATACGAATCAATATAACAGTAATTATCCTCGGAGAAGATGGACAAAAGAAAGAAAATTTACACCATTTCCTGTAAGGTATAAAGAATTATTAAAAAAAATTGAGCAAAAAAGGTATACTTGCACTAACAGGGCAAACACCACCCACTCCACCAGAAAGAAGGCACGCTCAATGGGATGGTAGTGCTTATCATAGGGGCGTTGGGAATGATATCGAACGTTGCTATGTCCTAAAACACAAAGTACAAGATCTAGTAGACAATGGGAGAATTTCCACGCCTAAACCTAATAACAATGTATCCCCACTAGGGGCATTTCACATTGATGAGGACCATATTGGAAGTGATACGTTCAATCCTTTGGACTATATCACACCTATAGGAAAACCTCTAACCACAACACTCATAGGGGCAACTAATGAAGTGTGTGGGTTATGGGACGACGAATTTCAAGACTTATATGTCTCTAAGTACGCCGCCGTCCCACCTCCATCTTGTCTTCAAAATGAGACAAATGGAGAGCTTGATTGGGATCATTTCTTGGGGAAGTCACTAGACTTAAATCTCTCCTTGGATGAACAATGGCATCAAGCACAACTCATGGAACATCTTGAAATGGAGGCACGTTCAAAGCCTCTAGAAGAAAGTTGGTTCACGAGTCCTATAACTAACCCAAATGAGATAGATCATCTAACTCGTTCTGGACGAGTTTACCTAGCATCACCAAATGGATCTTCGACCACACAAAATCAAACTCAAGGTCAAGTACAAAACCTAATACCACCTCCACTTGAGGTGGAAGATTCGTTGGTCAAACAACTTCGCCAATTCAAGGCGAATGTTAGCATTTGAGAACTCCTAAGTACTTCTACAGAACATAGGAATTCTCTTATGAATGCTCCAACAACTTTGTCTGTAAGTACAGACACAACCCCCCAAGATCTCGTTAGCTTGCTTACTAGCGAGAAATCCGACAAATCAATCATTTTCACTAATGATGATTTTCCTTCAAAAGAGACTACCCACAACAATGCATTATACTTAACTGTGGAGTGCAAAGGGTACAATATCCCTCTCACTTTAGTAGACAATGGGTCAACTTTAAATGTGTGCCTATTACGAATAGCAAAATATCTAGGCCTTAACCCAGAAAAAGATTTTCAATCAACAACACAAAGCATTAGAGCCTTTAACAACTCGAGGAGATCGGTGTGTGGAACTGTTAAGATACCAATTACCACGGGCCCAAATTCAAAAGATGGTTTAATTCCATGTCATGAATATTAAACCCACATTCAACCTTCTACTTGGACGTCCTTGGATACATGAGCTTGGTGCAATATGATTGCCATCCTTTTATTAACATCTCTTATCCATGCTTTTTAAGCATTTGGCAAGATTAAACTTCGTACGAATATAAACAATAGTGATTACACTATCCTTGTTAAGTCCTTGATGTAACTATACCTTACACCAATATACCTCAACTCACCATTTTACCCTTGGTTATATGCCTTAGCCAAAAATTACATTGTTATCACAATTCATCACTATTAATGATATTGGCTTTTGCAACAAAGTAATGCAACGAACTCCAATGTCTTATAGAATCTGTGATGCAAGCACTAGTAGAAAAATACAATAAGGCATCCCCATAAAGGCACCGGTTCAGGCCAAACCGGTGTCATAAACCGGCCCAAAATTGGGTGCAATTTTATACAAATAGAAAAGGCATCGGTTCAGCCCAAACCGATGCCAAAAATAAAAAGGGCACCGGTTTGAACCGGTGCCAATTGAACCGGTGCCTTATTTTAAAAAAAAAAATGTGCCCTATACTTTCTTTCTTCTTCCTTCTCTCTTTCATTCACTGTTTCATTCATTCGAGCCCTAAGCTATATACTTTCTTACTGCACTGTCGTTCTCCATTTTCCCACCACCATTACCGCTGCCACTGTCGCCGGCCACCAGCCCCATCCTTCTCTTTCTCCCCTGACCGGGTTTTCCCCCTGTTCCTTCTCTTTCTCTGTTCAATTTCAAGAGGGTTGTCTAGGTGTAGAAGCTAAGCCGCGCCACCACCTGCTCGCCGCGGCGTAGTGCTTCTACTGCATTGTGGTCGCCGCGCCGTGCCCTCCTCCACCACCTGCTGCTGCCCTCCTCCACCATAGAGGTAATTCCCTCACTATTTCAAGGTTTTTCCTTTTTTTTTATTTCACAATTATTTTCTAATTATGTACTTATATTATTGTGTTTTGCATGTTGAATCATTGTTTGCAAATTAAAATTTAGGTTTGAATATAATTATACTCTAATTTTTCTCAATTTTAGGTTGTTGTATTGGGAATTTGTGAAAATATTAGTGATTTTTCTCAATTAGTTTGATTTTATTATATTTTAATGGTTAATTTTATGTGTTTTGGTGGATAATTTTGAAATAGTTATAGAATATATATTAACCTTGGTACTTAAATAGGTGAAATTTGGTATGTTACTTGGTTAATTTGAAGTTGTTTTGATGGATTATTTTGAATAAGTTAGAGATTAGTGAACTTTGTTATTAAATTAGTTGAATTTTGGAATGTTTAAATGGTTAATATTAAGTTGTTTTGATGGGTATATTTGAATAAATTTGAGATTAGTAACCTTGCTTGTTACTAATGTAAAGTAGATGAATTTTGGATCGCACTACAAAAATAATGAGAATAGGCAACACCTAAAATTGCAACACTAAAAAAACTATTACCCTTGATAACCTAAGGCAACAATTTTAAAATGTTACTATGAACCAAAATAATAAGACTAGATCCTTGTGCAACAATTAAAAAAGTGTTGCTATAGATCACTAAAGACAACAATCATTTAAAGTGTTGCTTTTCTCTTGGCTAAGGCAACATGTTTAGAAAATATTGCTAGAAAAGATAACGACATTATAATTGTTACCTAACAATATGTCACTTATTATCTATGACATCAATTCATTGAATACACATCGTTAGTCAGTGTGTTTCCAACTATATGATGTTTAATCTAATTAAATGTTTAAACGAAAATCATGGGTTACCCCATTATATATTTATTTTTCTTATGTATTTCAAGGTAAATGAAGAAAAAATATTTCTTAGAGCACTAGTAGAAAAAACCTCAATAGTAACGTCCCATTATTAATAGCTAACATATAATATTACGTCAGTTATTATATAAGAGTATAAGTACCTGACATGACCAATGTAGGTTACAAATAAATTAGCACTAGTAACGGGCATAGCCAAGGCCAATTACCAAAAACTCAGTTAAAGAGAGTGTGACAAAATATTATTTGTTTTTTTTTAATTTATTTTTTATTTATTTAGAAAGACACAGGAGCAAGTGATGAAAATCGATCCCAATATCCCGTGGAACCGGATGGGAAGCCCTAACCATCTAGCTCTTACTCAAACCATCTAAGCAATCCCTCACTTTAACCAAATATTAGTAGCTGGAGCCTAGCGTAGAAAAGGCCCGCTACAAATATGTGGTCAAACCTTATTGACCTTAACGGGCTCAAGAAAAGCCAGTTACTGTGATGCCGCTTAGAGTCTTAGTTCTAAAAACACGCTCGCCTAGCCTTTTCGGTTCTATTCATCCTCTTTAATTTGTAGACCATCTCATTTTATCTTCTTCAACAATTCGTATGAACAAATCAAATTTCGAAAAAAACCCTTGTCGGCCTTACCACCCATGTCAAAGTCACCAATTGCATCAGCGTTGATCTGATGTGGAGATCACCGGAGTTACAATTTTTCTCGGCTGATTAAATCAATCGAGGTGGTTGTTTTTCGAAGGATCCTAATGTAATAATAATCGGCGTTGATCTGATAATCACCAAAGCTACTCCTTCCATGCATGATTTCAATCATAATTGCTATTTGTAATTTGATTAATTTTGAATTGGATTGAATTCAACAAAAGTACTTTCCATCGAGGTTCAAGGTGAGGTATGTAAATTTTCGAATTAAATCCCTTGTAAATATCCCTTTTCTTAATTAAAAAAAATCCCTAAAAATTGAATTGAATTTTGTTGTTGTCAGTTACTTGATTTGTTTGAATTAAAAATGCATGATTAAAAAACCTAATAAAAACCAATAAAATTAGGTTTCATGAATAATTTCAAATTAATTAAAGAAAAATTGAATGCGTTGGGGATTTTGTGGTGCTGTTTTGTTTTTACAATCTTATACAGGAGTATAAACATTAATTATTACACATACTTGTATTTTATTAGCAATCAGTAACCTAAATTCCCCATAGATTGCATTGTATATTGAATTCGAATTCATATTGTCATTAATAATTAAAGTTCATTTCTTATTTCTGCATTATTTTCCTGAATTACAGGCAGAATATCTTCCATCTCAACAAGGTCAAGGGTCAAATAAAATTTCAAATTTTACAGGTAAAATTTTCAATTTTCTTACTTTATTTAAGAATTATATTGGAAAAATATTTAACTTCTTACTCCGTAGTATTTAGTGTTTGACTGCTATATTTTTGTTGCTGTTGTGGTGCGGTTGTGTGCGAGTGTTATGTGTGTCAGTATATTAGTACGCTCGAACCAGAAAATTGTGCTACAACAATAAATAATAATAAAAAAAAACTGATACATTGTTGTCATTCTCCTGCCTTTTTGCTTCAGTTGTAAGTACTAGCCTTTTCATGGTTACCTTTTCACAATGAAGGATTAAAGGATTAAGTTGCTGAGTTGTATGTACTATATCTAAGTGTTGTTAAATACTTGGTATGTAATAGAGTAGCAGCTGGGAATCTAGAGTTCTAGGCCTTGTGATAGGGTGTTACTCATACTTCTATATAATTTTCTGATGTTGTTTCAGCAGTTGGGAAACTAGACCTTGTGATAGTGTGATACTAACACCTTTGACATTATTTTTAAGTTGTTTTTTCCTCCCTGTTGCTATGTTCCAAGTAGTCAAGTAGTTGCAACAAGATTAGCTGTGTTGATTTTATAGTGTATCTATTGATTTTGAGTTCTGATCTTGCAAGTAAGATTCATGTGAATAATGTTTTTCGTGGTCTAGTTTGTGATTGTATAACTTTCAATTTGAGGGTAGGGGTACTATAACCTGGTCCTGTAACCCTATTAAGTACCAAAAAAAACTATTGGATCAACCGAAATTTTATGTGATTATCGCAAAAAACTAGACCAAGGTAAATCTGAATGGCAATTAATCTTGTAGAATGTAAGGTTGATTACTTCAAAAGTTTTTTTTTTCTTGATTGTTTGTGTTTCTTGCTTTTTCAGAAACCAAAAATCAATGGGCTTGTGATGATCCTTCTCCTCTTGTTATCTACAACCTTCTGTTATAGTAGCTTCGATTATGGCCTATTGAGCAGCGTAAGTCTCAAAGACTCTAACTTCTACTTTTCTTTTTCATTCAATTGTTTTATGCAAAACGATATTAGCAATCTTATGAAAATTATTGTTGATAGATTTAAAACATAAGTCCACTTTCCACTTTGGCTTTCAAGAGTAGAATACATGCACTATCTTTGGTTTGCTCTTCTTAAATAAAAATTTTAGAAAAATATTGATGTAGGTTACTTTGTCGTGTTTGCTTCCAAAGAATAATTGCTTAGAGTATTTACTTTCCTAATAGAAGTACCTCATTCATGAAAATATTGAGAATGTAATTAATTTGGTTATGTTTTTTAATTTGGGGTGTCTAATTGGAGCTTTGGACACTAAAGTCCATATTATGTGAGCGTCCCGCGCCTCTCTTTGCTGCGCCCCCCCCCCCCACCCCTCCAAAAAAGTAACTTACATTTTATCTTACAATGAAACCTTGACTTAATTAAGTTATCTCAAGTTAAATAAATTCCTCACGTTAGATGATTAATGAAAATATTATATCTTGCAGTTTTTCCTTGTCATGATGCTTTCATTTTTTAGAGTTAAAGATGCTTTCATATCATTCTATTGTTGTATTATGTTGTTATATCGAAGAGGTTGATTCTTCAGTTTGGTGCTTGTTCAAGAGAGATGATAATATCCCTATTTCTCTAGATTTAAACTATATCAAGAGTGAGGCAAAAATATTGTCCATATCCTACGCCTCAAGGGTTTTTATTAACCACTCGTGATTTGATCTTGTGTTGCACATTTATCATTAGATTCTCAATACCGGTATTTTTTTTCTTATAAAGTTTTGTAGCAATTTCCTAGCAGGAACCTCTAGCCACAAGCCGAAGCATATTGGAGTAATTTAATTTCTAGCTTAACTCGGATAAATATATGCTGAATTCTTTTACTACATTGTGAAATTTATGTCATGCTTTATCTTTGTTAAGAATTTGAATTATTTAAAATAATTTTTGATAACTATATTATTCTTTAACTTTGTTATTTAATTGGTATTACAGGGTGTAAAGTACATGGAAGTGAAATATATATTGAAGACAAAGACAAAGAGTTGCTCTATTCTTTGGACGTTACAACCCCTTCCTCTTGTACTGTAATAGATACAAACAATTAGTAGTACTAATAATGTACTAAATTGTGAATCCATTTAGGATCTTAAGGGTATAGACTATAGATACATGATGTAGTGATATTTCATTATATAATGTTTATGGGATTTAGATGAGTTTACATGTGCTATGTTATAAAATTAAATTACATCTATATTGATGTTCGGCTTACCTTTAGACTTATTGTTGTCTATTGTTGAGTTCACATGTTGATTCATTTTAACTTTTACCATGTTACTCTTTGAGATATTTGGCAACACATTTATATTATTACTAACAAATATAATAGGTTGTTATATATTATAACATAAGGAGATAGTTTTGAATTGTTTCCTAAGGTTGCAACAATTTTTACTTGTTGCCTTTGTACAATTGTTGCCTAAGCTGTCATTTAACCTTGGCTTTAGAATTGTTGATTTTGAATAAAAATGTGTTGCCTTATGAATAGACAACGGGGGCATAAACTACACCTCATATGTGATGCCTTAGCTACAAGGCAACACTTTTTTTTATATTAGGCAATGGTTTTTCAGTGTTCCCTTTGCTTAATTTTGTTGTAGTGGGAATGGGTTACTTTTAAGTTGTTTTGATGGGTAATTTTGAAAAAATTAGTGATTAGTAATCTTGTTAGTTTAGCAATTTTGAATAAATTAGATGAATTAAAGTAGTGAATACATTGTTTAGAAATTGTTAGTTCGATGAATGATGTGTTTTAGCTTATAAAATAAATTAGTGAATTGACATGTTATGAGAAAGAAATAGTACATACCTTTTATTTAACCTAATTTTTGTTTATTGTTTTAAATTAATAGATTTGTGAATTGAAGCACGAGTTTAGTTTGAGGACTACATATTGAGCTCAAGTGGGTAGTTGCTATATTGGTATGACTTATAAACTTTACTTAGCTATATTTCTTTCTATTTATCCATTTAATAAAAGTTTATTCATGAAATTGCAATTTGTGTATTGTTTAATTGCAAATAAATACAACAATATATAGAATACTTGCATCATCATATGCCTAGATATCTGTTCAAGGCTTTCTCATTAGGAGAAAGTCTTGAATAGTCCCCGGTTGGGACTGTTCTTGAATGTGTACTCTCACTTAGGTGGTGAATGTATGTTTTCTTTTCGATTTTAAGGAACATCTTGGCTTACCATTTCCTCACTATGTTCTCTGGGTACATATGTGGGTAATTAATTATCTACATCGTGTACTTGGAGAACTAGGGGAAATGCTGCCGAATTTTCCTTAAAATTGGAAAGTTGACATACATTCACTAGTGAGAGTAGACATTCAAGGATGAGTTAGGTTGGAGTGATAAGGACCCTTTGGAAACATGCATTTTTTCACTATATGAATGGTATATTCACGTTTTATACTTGAATTTGATTTACATAAAATATGTAGCAATTACACATTATTCATTATATGTTGCTATATATGTTTAGAGATAATTTACTAAATGGAGAAGGATCGTGGTTGGATGTATGGTAGACGCGATACATTGGAATTTTGGAATGGGGTTCAAGAGTTTTGCGAGAGGGCTTTAGCTTATCAACGCAAACTGGGTGGCAAAGGCCTTTATTGTCCTTGTATTGATTGTAATAATGTGAATGTGGTCGATAATGTTGAAATCATTAGAGATCATGTATTATGTCGTGGGTTTAGGCATTTATACCATGTGTGGATTTGGCACGGAGAAAGTGGAGAGTACAGTGGGGATCTTGATTGGAATGATGTGCGTGCTAGAAGCAATGAGATTCATGTGGACGAGGAATACGAGAATGATGACTATATTGTTGATAATGGTGAGGATGGAGCCGATGATGATCAGGCGGATGAGGTCGAGGATGAACAAGTGGATGAGATGTTGCATGGTGTTGAAGGTGGAGTGTTTGAGTTATTATCGGAGACTTCCAAAAAGCCTTTGTATCCCGAGTGCAAAAAATACTCCAAACTATCGGCCGTGCTAACACTTTTCAACATTAAGTCGAAGCATGGGTGGATGGACATCAGTTTTACTTCTTTGTTGACCGCATTAAGTGATATGTTTCCTGATGGTAATGAAATTCCTAAGTCTTACTATAACGCAAAGAAGCTCATGTGTCTCTTTGGTTTGGAGTATAAGAAGATACATGCATGTCCTAATGACTGTATTCTGTATCAAAATGAGTATGAACAACTGCAGGAGTGTCCACGATGCAAGTGGTCGCGGTACAAGCGCATGAGTTGCAATCCTGGCACGGAGGGACCTCCTGCTAAGGTGTTGTGGTATCTTCCCATTATTCCAAGGTTTAAGCGTCTGTTCTCAATACCAAAAGATGCTAAAAACTTGAGGTGGCATGCAGAGGGAAGAAAGAAAAATAGAATGCTGAAGCATCCAGCTGACTCTCCACAGTGGAGGAACATTGATTTGAAGTTTGAGGAATTTGGTAATGAAGTCAGAAATTTAAGGCTTGGGTTGTGCACGGACGGGATGAATCCATTTGGCACTCTTAGTACCCAACACAGCACATGGCCGGTACTTTTAGTGATTTATAATTTGCCTCCTTGGCTGTGCATGAAACGTAAGTATGTAATGTTTTCATTGCTAATAACTGGTCCTAAGCAACCTGGAAACGACATAGATGTTTACCTTGAGCCGCTTATTGACGACTTGAGAAAGATGTGGGACGAAGGGGTTTCTGTTTTCGATGCTCATCAAAAAGAGATGTTCACATTGCGTGCAGCCCTTATGTGGACCATGAATGACTTCCCTGCATATGGAAACTTGTGTGGGTACAAGGTCAAAGGGAAAAAAGCATGCCCCATATGTATTGATGACACATCAAGCGTATACCTGACTCATTCTCACAAAGATGTCTACCTATGGACTCGAAGGTTCCTTAGGTGTGATCACCCGTACCGTAGGCAGAAAAAGGCTTTCGATGGAACCGTGGAAGAGGATACTGCGCCTAGAGCATTGACTGGTGCTGATATTAGTGCTCGGGTGAAAGGGATACGAACGGTGTTTGGAAAATCAGAAAAAACTGTGGTCTCAGCTGCTCTGTTTAAGAAAGAATCAATCTTTTGGAAGCTTCCGTACTGGAGAGAACATGACGTTAGGCATTGTCTTGATGTGATGCATATAGAGAAGAATGTGTGTGATGCTCTTTTGGGGACGCTTATGAATATCCCAGGCAAAACAAAGGACGGAAAGGGTGCACGGTTAGATTTGAAAGAGATGGGGATTCGTCCAGAATTGTGGCCTCAAGAAAAGGTTAGAAAGGGGAAGGAGCCGAGAATATAAGATGAAAATGTTTCAAAAAAAGGGAAGGAGAAGATCAAGGGAAAGGGAAAGGCGAAAGATGCGTCAAAGAAGAAAGTTAAAGGTAAAGGGAAGGATGAAAAGAATTATTTACCCCCGGCTTGCTATACATTGTCAAGGGTAGAGAAACGTATGTTTTGTGCATGTCTGTACGACATTAAGGTTCCATCAGGGTACTCATCTAACATGAAAAGATTTGTAACCTTAAATAGAGAATTGAAGCTGACAAGTATGAAATCCCATGATTGTCACATTATGATGCAAGTATTCCTACCGATTGCAATCCGTGGTATTCTACCGAAACACGTGAGGGAAGTGATTACAAGCCTTTGTTCTTTTTTCAATACAATTTGTAGAAAAGTTCTTGATCCTTGTACACTAGATGCTTTGCAAGCAGATGTGGTTGTGACTTTGTGCAAATTTGAGATGTATTTCCCACCCTCATTTTTTGACATAATGGTTCATCTGGTTCTTCATTTGGTGCGTGAGATTAAGTTGTGCGGTCCAGTGTTCATAAGGTGGTGATACCCTTTTGAAAGACACATGGGTACATTACAAGATAAAGTACGGAACCGGGCTCACCATGAAGGAAGTATGATGCAAGGGACCGTGGGTGAGGAGATAGGTAACTTTGTGGCGGACTACATAGCCCTTGCTCAACCTATTGGTCTTCCTACTTCTCGACATGAAGGTAGACTTGATGGTCATGGCGCAATTGGGTCGAAACGAATGTCACCAGACCGAGATCAGTTCTTACAAGCACACCTTTATGTGTTGCACTGTGTTTCAGATGTGCACCCATATTTAGACGAGGACATGGCTAGTTTGCGTGACGAATTTCCATCCAAAGGTGAAAAGGAACTTATGCAGCTGCATAATAAGAGGTTTGTTAATTGGTTTCGTGATCGAGTAATGAGTGGATTAAATGATACTAATGCGACCGATATAGTACGGTGGCTTGCGTACGGTCCTAGGGATGATGTCCGTTCATTTGAGGGATATGACATCAATGGGTACACTTTTTGGACCGAGGGTCGTGATTTGAAATATTCCTCCACCCAAAACAGTGGTGTAACTCTTGTGGCATCGTCAAGGGAGTTTGCAAGTTCTAAGGATAAATCACCTGTCGATGCAGAGCTGTCATACTATGGTCGAATTCAAGAAATATGGGAGCTTGATTATTGTGACTTCACGGTTGCTCTTTTTAAGTGTAAATGGGTTGATAATATCAGGCGTAATGTCAAATATGAGGACTTTACTCTTGTAGATCTTGGCCACTTGAATGATAGTGCGGAACCATTTATCCTTGCATCTCAAGCTAAGCAAGTGTTCTACGTAACTGACCCAATGGATTCAAAATGGTCTATAGTGCTAGCTGGCAAAAGAAGAATCCTAGGCATTGTAGATGTTGAGGATGAGGAAGAATATGATGCGTTTGATGATTCAGCACCTTTCACTGTTCCTAGACCTGTTGTACTAAATGACATAGACAACGAAGCAGGTTATATGCGAACAGACCACAACGAAGGAATTTCAGATTGAGGTAGTTTGATTAAAAGTTAGTAATGGTTTCATTGCAAATATAGTTTAGTTATCATGTATATAGGAGCATAAGTAGGCGAAAATGACATATTTGTAGTTTAAAATTGCCTAAGTGTACTCATTATCATGCATATACAAGGTTATAGACCATAAGTAGGTGAAAATGGCTTAAATAGCTTCTACTTAACCCAATTCTTTTGTTTTGTGTATGAACTAACATTTATTCATTCTAACAACCTATATTCATTATAACAACCTATATTCATTATATTTAACATTTTTTGTAGTTTGAAATTGCCTAAGTGTACTCATTATCAT